GTGGCAACTCCCTGGGCTTTCTTGCCAGTTGCACGCACTGACCGTTTGATATGTTGGCAGACAGAGCTGATTCTTGGATGCGTGTCTGAACCTCTACAGGTCTGCTTTTGGCAGAATCGAGTGTGACTCTTATCCCTTACCCATTAAGCTATCAATATGGCTTCCTTATCTTTATTTCTTTTGCAAACATGCCTTTGAAAGTGTTTGGCTCTTCTTTTTAGGCAGTTTATTTGATAATACACAAAAGCAGAGGCATGTGTCTTATTTCTAAATTACATTGTACTTCTTCAAAGGACAAGGGGGCATCTTAAATGAAGGTTTTTCAAAATAAGTTGACAGCTTTGATGGACTTATTTTGATTATTGATAAGGAGTTCTTTTCTAAGAGTTCGATTTAGAAGCCCCTGTGAAAACACAATTACCTCTGTTTAGCATAGGAAAAATAGTGTGTGCCTCTCTGAGCCTGATGTGTTGTATATCATAAACTTAACTTTTCTTTTGAAATTGAGTCTCATTCTGTCACCCAGGCTAGAGTGCAGTGGTGCAATCTTGACTCACTGCAACCTCTACCTTCTGGGTTCAAGCGATTCTTCTGCCTCAGCTTCCGGAGTAGCTAGGGTTACAGATGTGCATCACCACACCCAGCTAATTTCTGTATTTTTGGTGGAGTCAGGGTTTCACCATGTTGGCCAAGCTGGTCTCAAACTCCTGACCTCAGGTGATCCACTTGCCTCAGCCTCCCAAAGTGCTGGGTTTACAGGCATGAACCACCGTGCCCAGCTGCATATCATAAACTTTTCTTATCACTGTGAATTGTTTTGATGTGTCCAGATTTATATAGCTTACTGAAGGAAAACAAATTTTTGTATTTGGACTTTGGTGTTTGGGGTGTTCATTAGCCAAGCTTGGAAGATGCATATTTCAAGAAAGGTGGTCATGTGTAATTGCCATATATGGAGTCTTTTTAAAGCCCTGATCTGATTTACTGTAGTTGGAGCAAGCCTTAGCTTCGAAGAGCATAATCAGGACCCTGCAGTAGATAATGCTTAATAATTATCTCTCTAACAAGGCTGATTCTGTGCTCCTTCCATTGAGATATTAAAGCTGAGTGAATTTGTCTTACCGTCATGTAAAACATTCCAAAATTATTTGTTATTTATTGGATTTTGATTCTGTTTGGAGCACTCAGAGTGCTTTGAAATTCTGTGAACAAAAGAGGCACTGTGAAAATGGATTCCAAACATGGAAAACTCTTCCTAGCTGGTTGAAGACTCAAGAGACTGGCGAGCCTGAACTTCTTCAGGTAGTGCAGCCACCTGCTGGACACGTGGCCAGACACAGGTTCCAAAGATTTAGGGCAATTTTAGTATAATCAGAGGTTTTTCCCTGCCAGAGAAGCCCTTTGTAAACAGGGTAGGAAAAAAAATCTCGTCCATTGATCTTCATTAAAATGAAGCCACTCACTTGCTCTGCATGGTTTTCTAAATTGGTATATACTGGTAATATCTTTATAGAATTCAAATAATAGTTTTAAAAATGATTTTTTGATTTATTTAAAGTCTCTTTTGCTAGCACTTCTATTTCCTATATTCTATGGCACCCTCTTAGTGTGCATTTTAACTTAATTATGTGTAGACTTTCTTTTATGTGTCGCTTTAATCATTGAGCATAACTGAAGCTCACTAACTTTTTGTTCCTATAAAAAACTGCAATGTTATTTCAATGCAATGAGATTTGAAGGTTTTTTTTTTTAATAGAGACGGGGTTTCACCATGTTGACCAGGCTGGTCTTGAACTCCCGACCTTGTGATCCGCCCACCTTGGCTTCCCAAAGTGCTGAGATTACAGGTGTGAGCCACCGCACCCGGCCTCAGTGCAATGAGATTTCAGCAACAAAAATATAGTAACAAGATAACTGGCCTAGGAGTGAGAAGATCCAAGTTTGTTTTCTGGGGTTTTTTTTTTTTTTGGTTTGGTGTGGTTTGGTTTGTTTTTTTGTTTTGTTTTTTGTTTGCTTGTTTGTTTTGAGGTGGAATTTTGTTCATCCAGGCTGGAGTACAGTGGTGTGATCTCAGCTCACTGCAACCTCTGCCTCCCAGGTTCAAGCAATTCTCCTGTCTCAGCTTCTTGAGCAGCTGGGACTAAAGGCATGCACCACCATGCCCGGCTAATTTTCTATTTTTAGTAGAGATGGGGTTTCACCGTGTTGGCCAGGCTGGTCTCAAACTCCTGACCTCAGAGACTGGTGAGCCCAGACTTTCTTCAGGTAGTGCAGCCACCTCGGCCTCCTAAAATGCTAGGATTTCAGGCGTGAGCCACCATGCCCGGCCTGACCCAAGTTATACTTATAGTTCTGAGACTGATTTTTTTTTCTCTCATTTGTTAATAAGTTACTTAGTCTCTCTGTTAACCCCTATTCCGATCCATAAAAATGCAAAATGAGACTCCCAGTTAAACCAAGTAGCATAGACTTGTCTCTCCCTGCTACTTACAACTATAAAACCTGGAAATGACACAAGAGACAATCTGGAGAACTCTAAAAGGTAAAAAGAGGAAGATCTGGTCAGGAACCCAGAACTGGCAGAACAGCAGCAGCAAAGTGTCTTATAAACCCCCACTGAGCATAAGAAGTGGGCCTGGGCCTGGAGTTCTTGACCTTTAACCTAGCAGCAACAGAAGGTGGCCCGGGTAGGCTTATTCATCTCCTAAGCTGAACAAGAGTCCTGCCAGCAATACTAGGCCCGCCCAGCAAAACTGGCAAGGATTGGAAGCCCTGCTAATAATAATTGGCCACCAGGGGACTTCTGTGTCTCCCTTTCATGAAGGCAGTGGAGCAGAAATAGCAAAGAAGACCTCATTACAGCCGGCTTGGAATGAATAGCAGTCTTCTATGACTTCTGTGGTTTCACTTCTATAATGTAATATTCTTGAAATTATAACATTGTAGAAACAGGGAACAGATTCTTATTTGCCAAGAGTCAAGGACAGGGGAGGGGCCAGAGCAGTGTGGATGTGGGCTGTAAAAGGGCACCAGGGATCCTAGTGGCCATGGAAATTTCTGTATCTTGACTGATTTCAGTATCCTGGCTGTGATAGTATACCATAATTTTGTAAAATCTTACCGTTGGCAGAAACAATTTATAGGGCACCAAGATCTTTCTGTTCTTTACAATTGCATGTGAAGGTACAATTATTTCAAAATAAAAAGTTTTAATGGTTTCTTTAAAAAATGCATAATGGTAATGGTACCTGCCTTTTCGGTGCCAGAGAATCATTGTAAGTTTGTTTTTTTGTTGTTGTTGTTTGTTTGTTTGTTTGTTTCTTTGTTTTTTTGAGACAGAGTCTCACTCTGTTGTCCAGGCTGGAGTGCAGTGGTATGCTCATGGCTCACTGCAACCTCCGCCTCCTGGATTCAAGCAATTCTCCTGCCTCAGCCTCCTGAGTAGCTGGGATTACAGGTGCCACCACCACACCCAGCTAATTTTTGTATTTTTAGTAGAGACAGGATTTTAGGGCCGGGCGCGGTGGCTCAAGCCTGTAATCCCAGCACTTTGGGAGGCCGAGGCGGGTGGATCACGAGGTCAAGAGATCGAGACCATCCTGGTCAACATGGTGAAACCCCGTCTCTACTAAAAGTACAAAAAATTAGCTGGGCATGGTGGCGCGTGCCTGTAATCCCAGCTACTCAGGAGGCTGAGGCAGGAGAATTGCCTAAACCCAGGAGGCGGAGGTTGCGGTGAGCCGAGATCACGCCATTGCACTCCAGCCTGGGTAACATGAGTGAAACTCCGTCTCAAAAAAAAAAAAAAAAAAAAAAAAAAGGTAGAGACAGGATTTCACCATGTTGGCCAGGCTGGTCTTGAACTCCTGACCTCAGGTGATCCGCCCACTTCCCAAAGTGCTGGGATTACAGGCATGAGCCACCACGCCCAGACTCATTGTAAGCATTTAAGAAGGTACAAGCTGTGCCAAGCTGAGAGTGTCATCATATGGGTACACATGGTAGCTATTGGTCTTATCCATCCATGTGTCTGTTTCAGCTTGTATGTTTAGTATTTCTTTCTATTCTACCTTATCCAAAAAGCATTTACAGTATTTTATATATTGCCATCTTTAATAAAGTTTATTTATCTTGCAGCAAAATTTTTTAGGGCTTTCTTTGAACTGATCACCATATTGGGAATAAAAAGAACGGGATAAGAAGTGCAATAGACTGAACTCAGTCTGTTTCACATGTAAACAAGTCAGTCATAGGATGAATAGAGAACTGGCATTGAAAGCTTTGTATTGTAAAACATTTATATATAAATATATATATATATATATATATATATTTTTTTTTTTAAGTTAGAGTTTCACTCTGTTGCCCAGGCTGGAGTACAGTGGCATGATCTCAGCTCACTACAGCCTCTGCCTCCCAGGCTCAAGCAGTTCTCCTGCCCCAGCCTCCTGAGTAGCTGGGATTACAGGCGCACTACCACACCTGGCTAATTTTTGCATTTTTAGTAGAGATGGGGTTTTACCATGTTGGCCAGGCTGGTCTTGAACTCATGTTCTCAAGTGATCCGCCTGCCTCACCTTCCAAAGTGCTGGGATTACAGGTGTGAGCCACCGCACCTGGCAACAATTTTAATAACAATTTAGAATGCATCTTACAATCAATATAATTGAGTCTTAGTTTAATTGGCAGCCTTTTTCTTGAAAGCTTGATAGTACATAAATAATGGTTGCATCTTACACTTAGTAACATCTTAGGTTCACTGAGATCTGGTGATAATGTCTAAAACTATTTTGTGCAGTTTTTATCTGAATGTTTTACCTGTTCTGATTTTATTAAACAGAATTTGGGGAGGAGATGTTTGTTTCCTTTAGCTAGACTATTAACAATTTGAGGGTCTGATGGTATATTGAGTGACATTCTATGGTGATAATATATTATTAACATACACCCAAATGTTGAAACCTTATTTCCTCTTATCTTTTTTCCTTTTGTTTTTCAAGTGTCGATATACAGTATCTGGTTTTATGACAAGAATGACTGTCACCGCATAGCAAAACTCATGGCTAAGTAAGTATATTACTGCATAAATTTCACTGATGATATGTAAGAAATGAAAAATAATCCCCTCCCAGTTCTTTTTATTCCTGAAGTTTACTAACTCATGTATTTCTCCAATTTCTTTTATTACTAAAGTCTACTAACTCATATATTTCTCCAATTTCTTTTTATGCCGAAAACTTGGAAAAGGCAGAAAAGCTTTAAAATATATCTAATTATTATCTTACTACTCCCAGTGTACATTTCAGTTTCCTTCTACTCTTTTTCTTTATGTGTATATTAAGTAGATATGTGTGATTGTTTTTTACAAAAATAGGATCATACTGTATATACTGCTTTTCATGTCAACAGCATTTTTCCAGGGCATTAAATTTTTCTCTGTAGTATTTATGACAGCTGCCTTGTATCCAGCTCTATAGACAGATCATGATTTAACCAGAATCTTGCTGTTGGACCTGTAGGTTAGGGCTGCCAGACTGCCTGGCTCCAGAGGATATCTGCATCAGGTGTACAGCCTGACCACATACAGTGGCTCTGATTTAGGTTCTGTCCAAATTTCCATTGTAACAAGTGGTACTGTATGTGATAGCCTGATAGAGAACTCACACACACATCTGTATTTAATTCTTTTAAGTGAACTTGTTTTTGACACAGACTCTAGGCTTAGCAGGCCCCAATCCACTCATGGTTTGTGTTCCGGAAGATTTTTTTGTGACTCAGAACCTTGAAATTTGGAAAATTATCTTCCTTGAATTAATGTTCTAAAGGGCAGTTCGTTGTCCTCTCTCAGGCTAGTCTGTGGAAGCCAACCGTTATGTGACCTATCTATATTTCTGGACTGCCAGTCTGGATTCTGGAAGTTCATGACATGAGGCTGCAGGGGGCCTGAGGGACTACAGAACTCTTGGCCAAATGCTATAATAGGTAGATGGTGTGTTCTGGTGCACTTCTGCTTTTTTTCAGTTTTTGCCTGACTCTTCTTAGAAATGTGGACCTGTCTCCCCACTCCGCCATCCCCATCTTTGAAATCAGAATTCCGTTTCCTCTCTTGCAGTTTTTAATCTACATGTGTAAAATAAAATAATCTTAAACTTTTTAATAGTCTAATCTTATTTTCTTTTTATTTTATTTTACTTTTTTTTTTTTTTTTTTTTTTTTNTTAGACAGAGTCTCGCTCTGTCACCAAGGCTGGAGCTCAGTGGGGCAGTCACAGCTCAGTGCAGCCTCAAACTCTTGGGCTCAAGTGATCGTCCCATCTCAGCCTCCCGAGTAGCTGGGACTACAGGCATGCACCACCATCAGCTAATTTTTTAGGGGGTTGGGTAGAGACAGGGCCTCGCTATGTTGCCTAAACTGGTTTTGAAGTCCTAGGCTCAATCGAGTCTTCTACCTTGGCCTCCCAAAGTGCTGGGATTATAGGTGTGAGCCACTGTGCCATGCCAACAGCCTGATTTTAAATGAAATATAAATAATTATAAATAAGTAATTAACCCAAATCTCAGTTCAGGGTATATTTACATTGTAAAAGAAGGCAGATGTGGCTAAGGCAGGTTACGATCCAGGACTACTAACGTGTCCTGATGGGAAATTATCAGCCCCCTGCTTTGTTGTCTATTCTGGCTGTGAGCTTGCCGGGCAGGCTCATCTTTATTACTTGTGTGCACCCTGAGGACATGGTTCTATGAGCTTGTAGTCACCGTACTTGAAAAAATATTGACACCCTAGAACCACACTTTGTTTTTAGAACACTTTTTCTCTTGAAAAAAATAAAACTATTTTTCTTTTTAAAATTTATTTATTTATTTATTTTATTGAGATGGGATGTCACTGTATTGCCAAGGCTAGTCTCAAACTCCTGGGCTTAAGGGTTCCTTCTGCCTCTGCCTCTCAAGTAATTGGGACTATAGGCACAAGCCACCATTACCCAGCTAAAACTATTTTTCAACAAAGCCATTTATTTGATGATCACTTGTTTTAGCTTTGAAAGTGACAGAAAAGGCAGCTTACTTCTGGTTACTTAGAAGACACAGGGTTATGGATTCATGGTTATCCAGAAATCCAGAATTTTTTCTAAACTTTGGAATGTATTAATATATAAACACTTTCTCCTGCAGAATGAGGGCATTTGGATCCTGAGTGAAACGATCTGGCTCTTTTAGCTCTAACTACTATTGAAAGAAAACCATTTATCTGTCAGGGCAAGCGTCACCCCTAATGCAAGACTTCAAATGGCAAATGAAGCTGAAGACTGAAGGCCTATCTAAAAATATTTTATTGAACCCAAAAATAGGATGAGGAGTAGAAATGGGAAGCTGGAAGGGAAAAGAAGAGCACTGGGTCTTCTTTCACCAGAAATGCCCAAAAGAGGGACAATTGCTTAAATTTTCAGCTTGTTTGACTAGAAGCAGGTATGGTATTAAAACTGATTAGAGCCTGGGCACAGTGGCTGATGCCTGTAGTCTCAGCACTTTGGGAGGTCAAGGCTGGGAGGGTTGCTTGAGGCCAGGAGTTCCAAGACCAACTTGGCCTGACATAGCAAGACCCACCTCTGTTTAAGAAAAAAAAAGAGAAGAAAAGAAAGTGATTAGAGAGGCCAGGCACAGTGGTGTGTACCTGTCATCCCAACTATAATACTTGTGTGGCTCAGATGGGCAGATCCCATGGGCCCCAGGAGTTCAAGATCAACCTGGGCAACATAGTGAGATCCCATCTCAAAAAAAAAAAAAAAGATTAGAGAATACCCTGGTGAAACTGTTGATAGTGAGTTTTGTTTTTTCTATCAGCATAGTATTAGAAGTCCTGGAGATAGTGAGTTTTAAGTGTCTGGCCTATTTATGGTTAAAGAGAATACTGTATGTTACCGTAATTTTGTGATAAATGCCTTTCAGGTCACCAGAACTAAAAAAGACTATCTGTCTTTGTTCTAAATCTGCCTGCATATGCCTGTTTGCTACATATTTTTTGTTTGTTTGTTTGCTACATGTTTGAGAATACCACCTCTATTAACCAAAAATACTAATACAATTCTTGTTAGCATGTTGTGCATTTAAATAAATGTGTCTATCAGTGCCCATTCTTTTAAATACAATTCTTCCCATCACTATTTTGACAGCCACAATATAATAAAGATTCTCCAAGTAAAAAACTGATTTACTCCAAACAATGTTTATAAAAACTAGAAGCTATGTAGGAAAATAAGTGAGCGTCTAGACCTATATTATCTAAATTTGGATATTCTCTGGTCAGCGGTGGCAGAGTTGAAAACTCACTAAACTTGGAAAATGTTGACTCTCCTAAAGAGGAAATCTAGTCACCAGAAACTCTTTGTAACAAGAAAAAGTTGTTTGAATGTTTGGCCACACAGACTATGTAAACTTTGGAGAACTCATGGAAGTAAGCTTTATTCCTGATCTTACAGACATCTTAGGGGCATGTTTGGGTGTTTGAAAGGAAAGGAGAATGGCATGGTTGCTATTCATAATAAGTTTGGATTTGAAGAGACCTTAGAGTCTAAGCCTCATTCATGTGAGAGTCCCTTCCATGCCTCCCCTGACAGCTTCTGCTTTCAGCAGTGGTGAGCTTTATAAAATTACCTGTTCTGGCTCAGCACAGTGGTTCATGCCTGCAACCCCGGCACTTAGGGAGGCCAAGGTGGTTGGATCACTTGAGGTCAGGAGTTCAAGACCAGCCTGGTCAACATGGGGAAACACTGTCTCTACTAAAATACAGAAATTAGCCAGGCGTCGTGGCACACACCTGTAATCCCAGCTACTAGGGAGGCTGAGGCACAAGCATCCCGAGCCCAGGAGGTGGAGATTGCACTGAGCCAAGATAGCACCACTGCGCTCTAGCCTAGGTAACACAGTGAGGCCCTGTCTCAAAAAAAAAGAAAGAAATATTATTCTCTTAAACCAAAATAATCATAGAATCACTAGTCTGGGTTAGGGAAGAGTTAAATACCAGCATGGCCAAGTCAGGCAACATGTCAGGAGGAAGGTAGAAAACAGGCTGTGTGACAGAGTCCTTTATGAAGATGGATTCAGGCTGATGTGGCCTATATCTGAACATTAAATAAAGAATTTATATTTGGTTTGATTCTCATATCCCATACTAATCTTTCAGTCTATCATGAAGCTCATCATTCTACATTTGTTTTAGAACTAATAGTCTTATTAAGTGCTATAAGAATCTAGATAGAGTAACTACATATTACCTTAAAGCCACATTTCCCAAACAGGAATTCTGCCTCAGAGTAAAACTCTATAGTCAAATAAAATTTGAGAAAATATGTAGTCCTGCCATTCTTGGAGAATCGCAGTAGATTTTAGCATTCTTAAAAACTCAGCTGGCCAGGTGTGGTAGCTCATGTCTATAATCCTGGCACTTTTGGAGAATGAGGTGGGAGGATTGCTTGGGGCCAGGAGTTTGAGATTAACCTGAGCAACATGGTGGAACCTTGTCTGTACAATTAAATAAGTGAAACAAACAAAACTCAATGGGTGGGTTGCAGTAGTTCATTCTAATCCCAGTATTTTGGGAGGCTGAGGCAGGAGGATCACTTGAGGCTAGGAGTTTTGAGACCAGCCTGGGCAACATATCAAATCCCATCTCTACAAAAACAATAATAAAACTCAGGGATTCTGTTTTTTCTTTTTTCTTAAGTCTGTTTAATATTGTTTAACATTGTATTTTTAAATAAAAAAGCAGTCTCTCTTCACCTCGTCACTACACTCTAATGAGAGCTCCTGTGCAGGCTGGGTTTTTTGTTTTTTTAAAACAGAATTTCACTGTGTTGCCCAGAATGGTCTCAAACTCCTGGGTTCAAGTGATCTTCCTGCCTCAGCCTTGCAGAGTGCTAGGATCATAGGCATAAGCACTGTGCCTGGCCTGAATGAATCTTAAAAAATAAATAAATAAATAGTTGCCTTATTAAAATTTATTGTTCAAGCTTGAAAGCTTTAAGAAAAATACAGGAAATGATAAAATATGCATGTACTTACCACCTACTTCTCAGTTCCTAACATTTTGCTGTAATTGCTTCAGATCCTTCTGTATAAGAGAGAAGGGGGTGTTCTTAAAAACCAGAAGCCCGCCGGGCATGGTGGCTCAAGCCTGTAATCCCAGCACTTTGGGAGGCCGAGGCGGGTGGATCACGAGGTCAAGAGATCGAGACCATCCTTGTCAACATGGTGAAACCCCGTCTCTACTAAAAATACAAAAAATTAGCTGGGCATGGTGGTGCATGCCTGTAATCCCAGCTACTCAGGAGGCTGAGGCAGGAGAATTGCCTGACCCCAGGAGGCGGAGGTTGTGGTGAGCCGAGATCGTGCCATTGCACTCCAGCCTGGGTAACAAGAGCGAAACTCCGTCCCAAAAAAAAAAAAAAAAAAAAAAAAACCAGAAGCCCACTTAGTGATTTTTTTTTTTGAGTCAAGGTCTCACTCTGTCACCCAGGCTGGAGTGCAGTGGCGTGATCTCAACTCACTGCAGCCTCTACCTCCTAGACTCAAACGATCCTCCCACGTTAGCCTCCCAAATAGCTGGGACTATAGGCACATAACACTAAACCCAGCTAATTTTTGGGTTTTGTCAAGTCACCCAGGCTCAGTTAGTGGTTTGTAAAAGGGAGAATAAGGGAAACCTTTTATTTGCTTATAGTGTTATTAACTTTTAAGGTTTCACCAAGACCTCTACTTTTAGGAAATGACTTTGTCCTTACTAGCCCAGTGTCAATCCAGACTTTCCACAGAGGATTTGTTCAACTATGCAGCCTTCCTTGTGTCTTGGTGGCATTGTCCATTTTCAAATTTACTTTACCAGTTAGTTTGACTGATTTTGAAATACTTCTAGGGAAAAAGGGTGATACTTAGTGAAGTTTTTAATGTACCTCCACCAACTCTAGGAAGGAATTCTGTATTTTTGTCCTTCTGAAGGGTAAATATTGGCACTGTTGTTAATGAGACAGTGAAATGGTAAGTCATGTATTCCTGGAATGAGGTAACTGAGGTTCTGTGTTATATATTGCAAGAATAATGTCATCATGTGACACTTTTAGTATATCCTTGGAAGATTAACACCAAAAGAAATCTTGGGTCAGATTTTGTTTCAAGAGGCCTTTCTAAAACCTAGTTCTTCTCCTCTAGTGTGGTAGAAGAGGAGACACGGCGATCACAGCAAGCTGCTCGGGATAAACAGAGTCCCAGCCAGGCCAATGGCTGCAGCGACCACAGGCCCATCGACATCCTGGAGATGCTGAGCAGAGCCAAGGATGAGTATGAGAGGGTGAGGCTCTCTGGGTGCTTGGGTGCTGACCAGGGAAGACCAGAAGGGGAGGAGGAAGTGTGCAGGAGACCCTTTTACTAGGGAAGCTGACCTCCAGGGCCAGCAGAAATGTAAGTTCAAAAAGAGCATGTTAGCATGCTGTAGTCGGTCCCAGCTACTTAGGAGCCTGAGGCAGGAAGATCACTTGAGCCCAGGAGTTGCAGGCTGCAGTGAGCTATGATTGTGCCACTGCACTCCAGTCTGGGCAACAAAAGAGACCTTGTCTCTTTATTTAATTTTTATTTTTTTCAAACAGGTATGTCTTACAATTTTAAACCTAAAACGTAAGGAAAGAACTCTGCTTACCCCAGAGTACTTGTTTTTAGCAGGAAAACTTACAGTGCTTTTTTCTATTCTTGTAAGATTGCTGTGGGAGAAGACGGTCTTGGAGTGCAAAAGTTAGCCCACAGCAGCTAGTTCTGGAAAAGCTTTGTGCCTCTTTTTTACCACTGCAGGCTCTGTTAGGATCCTCAGTTGTCTTAGGAATTTGTATAGCCTTGAAAAGTATTCTGAAAGCTTGTACCACATGGTACTAAAAGCTACACTCATGGTCTGTAATTGGTGGTGGATGCACAGCCTTCATTAAGCTTCATTTGGGATTTTACCCACATGAGAGGTTTTTCTGAAATTGACTGTTTTCTTTCTCTTCTGTTTTGCATTTTAGTTTATAAGTTAGCTGATAAAATTTTCTCCCAAAAGTTGAATAAAATGGTAATTGTGGTACATTAGTTAATTTATTTAACGCATGCTTATGAACCGTCCACTATGTGCAAGCAGTGGGCATTTCGTGTTATGAAACTGTCCTGAATTTTTACTTGGCAACTCAAAGCCCCCATGCTTCATTGGAGTGAGACAAGCTCTCTACTGCTGAACTTTGTTTTAGCAGAATTATTCTGTCTCCTTACTCTTCATTAAATATTGAGTTAAGTGCTTTCCTTTCATGCCTCTTTCATCCTCTCCTCACCAGAACTTCAAGGAGCAAAATGTGAAAAAAGCAGTGTCTGAAAGACCATTTCCCATACAGTTCTACTGTAATACTAGCTACTAAGATATTAATCAATGATCCTGAAAAAAGCTTCAAATTGGCAAAACAAGTTAAGGCACTGTTGCTAGCATGACTATTCCTGTATAATAAGCATTTTCTTCACAAGAAAGATATTGCACTTCTATAATATCTTTTAATCAACTTTCTTATTTTTTTTCCATGTAAAGAAAGCTACTTGAAACCACACTTGGCCCATTCTGAGTTGCTTCTAGCCATAGGATATAATCCTGGATTTTGGTCAGGGGGGTACGGGTGGTTGTTTGTTTAGTTTTAGTTTAATTGCAAAAAAGTTTTTTAAAGCCCAGGGTATTTTTGTTCTTAAAAAATAGAGACCATACACAGTGACTCACGCCTGTAATTCCAGTACTTCGGGAAGCCGAGGCGGGAGGATTGCTTGAATCCAGGAGTTTGAGACCACCCTGGGCAACATAGCAAGACCCTGTCCCTACCCCAAAACAAAAAAATATTTTTTTAATTAGCCAGGCATGGTGCCACACCTGTAGGCCCAGCTACTCCCGAGGCTGAGCTGGGAAGATCTCTTGAGCCCAGCAGTTTGAGGCCGCAGTGAGCATAATATTGGAAGAATGAATGCTCCCAGCCAGGCACGGTAGCTCATGCCTGTAATCTCAGCACTTTGGGAAGCCAAGGAGGACGGATCATGAGGTCAGGAGTTCCAGACCAGCCTGGCCAACATGGTGAAACCCCATCTCTACTAAAATTTAAA